GGTGTTCCTGATTTCAGTTAACATGAAATCCTAAAAACGCCTGAGAACATGTTCCTGTAAACTTTGATCACACAGAAATATTTGTACAGAAACGTGTCCCAGTTACATTACACGACAGAACGACGTCTTCAAATTCAGCCTCGACAAGATGTGACTGACTATCAGAAAGTGTCATTTGTGGTATGTTTACACGACATACTCTAGCAATACTTATAAAGATAACGAGAGTCTGTCCTGAAACTGACATGCAAACATAACTTGTAGGGCTCCCTAGTACGATTAAAATTAATCTATCCTGCACAAACGTGTTACTTGTATCATTTTCACAGTCTAAATCATGAATTCTCGTATAATGACTATAGGATTAACAATTAGGGGTTACATTTCGATAGGGGCAGGAATTTTTCTTTTCGCCGACGTGTCCACAATTTCTCTGGGTCAAACTTGGAACAGACACAGTTATTAGATTTTTAGGTAAATTCTATTCCTTTAACACGTGTCGTAAGCATTGCAGAATTTATGTTATTCTCAACAATGCAGAGCGTTTTGTGTACGTTTGCCATTGTTGCAGATGACGGCACTTGGACCGTGTGTTGAGCTAGGGCAGTGATATGTTAAATACCCCCCCCCCCCCCCCCCCCCCCCCCCCCCCCCCCCCCCCCCCCCCCCCCCCCCCCCCCCCGGGGGCGCCACTCAAGTCAGGTCAATGCTGCCATTCCAGACGTTGTCACATAAATCGAGTCAACTGGCCCGTGTGTTATAAACAAACTAACCGGTTATTGTGGAATCATTCTGCATCAGAAATAGAGTAAAAAAATAGTGACGTTCAGATAGCACAGTTTGCTGTTACGCTGAAACAGGGAGAAAGAACTGAATATGTTAAGACGACCAAAAAAGTGCCCAAACGGTTCATTTACAAAGATGACTTGGAACTAGCGGTTTCCGAACATTGTTCTACGCTGTCGCGGGTAGAGAATGTCGTTTGCTGGCTCGTATCTTGGGCGGACTGTCAGTATCAGCAGACGAATGTGTTCTCAGAATCAATGAGCTGAATCTGAACTTTCAGTCGTGCATCCGTCTGTATTAAATGTGAATTTTAGTCTTCCGAATTTCCTTCACTCTCGTCACTACGAACCCAGCGACGTGCAAAATGTCTTTTCAGGCACTTTCTACGATTACTTTAAAATAATTCCATCGAACTTAAATTAACCCTCACTAACACAACACCATCTCACGGTGGATTGGCATCCCAACAATTACTCCATTCACACTCACACAGAAGAAGGCAATGGCAAACCGCTTCTGGATCATCTGCCAAGAACGTATATGAACAGGTCCCAGTCCGAGAAAAGGATGGAAGGATCCTGTTCATATGGACCTGTCGTCAGACAGAACACTAAATAAAAATAAAAATAACACAACACAAAGAATCCAAATTTCATTACATTCCAAGTTTTAAGAAAAGAAAAGCAGAATTATAAATACGGAGTTATTACTGTGACGTGTACAACGGCTACAAGATCCAATGACGTCACAAGGTACAAATCGTATACAAAAATAACACAAATCGTGCGTAAGGATAAGAACGTGTTCTTCGAGCACGAACTAAAGTTGTTAAAAGCGATGCTTGCAAGGCGACATTCTACTTTTAAAGAGAACAACCTCTCGTTTGTAGATAAATATTTTAAGTGGCATCACGGAATATTTTAGTCTTGCCTTAATGGGGTAGGCAATAATGCATCTGTGAAACTTACGTCTGAAATACATCTTCTATGTGTCGTTATATCCACCCGCTAAGGATCATTTTAAGAACTTAACTTCCTTTGTTTGTCACTTCATAACAATGAATCAACTCTAGAAGTAATTTACTATTAAATATAAAATGAACAATGGACTTCGAGAGCTGCACGTGAGGAAGTCATCGAGGCTATTATATAAAAATATTCCTGCGGTTTTCCTACAGGAACTTCGAAATGCGACAATCAAACATTAGTAATGCAGGCTTCTAATTTCTCGTGGAACAAAGCAATATTGTACCCGCAATAAATAGGATAACAAAATCAAGATTTCTGAAAGAAACTTCAAGCTTATCATTGAATTTACTGTGCCTATAATTGTGTAAGAGTCACTCAAAAATTCGGGTTACTCCTTAACGTGACAGGCCAGGCAAAATTGCAATTTCGTATATTTTAATCTTTAAGTTCTTAGCACAAAGAAATATAAAAGATTCTGCACTGTATGATAGCAAATTTTTCCCTTAAATTTATCTTGGCATAACTTCATCGTGAATGCAATTCCGATTTAAATGCATCGCCAAAATATTCGATATTAAAGTGATTAGCAATTTTTGATTGACTCCTGAGTAGGCACTTCTTAACTATTTCAATAGCTCTGAGCTGCTCTGTAATACACGAATAAGCGGGCTTACGTGAATAGTTCGAAACATCTTGTGGATTATATCAATTCCGAATGTATTATATTTTTGTATCAACTGTCGACAGACTGTTCTAAAGCCAGCAACTTCATAGTTTTTAGTGGACGTCGACTGACATCGACAGCCCTGAGCGAGGACTTACGAGCTGCTTCCACAGTTCTGAGTGAGGTGATGTTTAACTGCACGAGAAGTATCCACATGAAACTTTGCAGAACATCATTTTTCACCAAACGAAGATGGCTGTCTTTCTGGGTTGTAGAGCCAAGTAGTCTAGCAGAAGTTTACTAACGTTACAGAGGTTCCTGCTGCCTTCATAATCAGGGCGACGAGTGACTCATCGGCGTCACAACACTTAAGACAGTCATCTTTGTACTCACCACCGTGAGAACCTCAAATCATATAAAAATTTTCATCTCATATTTGAAAATGAGGTTCGAAATTGGCTGAACATTTTTATCCATACACAGCTGATACCATTAAAACGTTATTTCATTTACAATTTAGATACGATCTAAGTGAACACACAATCAAAATAATTATTATAAAAGTGTATATTTGATCTTAAAACCTTGCATACCGTGTAGTGTATTGGAATATAAAAATAAGCATACGAACAAAACTGTTTACACTATGAAGAACACTAACGCCAAACGCGTTTCGACCTCAAGAGGTCATCATCAGTGACAAAAAGGAGGAATTAATAGTTAATTTTCAGGGCTGAAGATGACACAATGTCCCTATAAAACGATAGCATCTACCTACGATTCTACACGGCGCCAAATCTCCGAATATCAGTCTACCGAAAAACTTGCTTCTTCGCACGAAAAGTGGCAATTTTGGTAATTTAAACATTTCTAAATTTAACCTGTACAGTTAACAGTCCTATGCTACCTTTCCGACCGGGAAATTGACGTTTAGCGTCGTAATAAGTTCGAACCGTCGTCACATGGCGTCTCTACTATTGCATCGTGAGTGGGAGTGGTCCGCGAGGGGTAAGATGGCGGCACACTTGGGATCGATCTGTTACTTTGTCGGTGGTGTAGGAGTTTTGGAATGGACGCTTCGATCTGCAGCACAAGTTAGCCCAGTTTTCTAGTCATGGATCGACTTTTGGAGAAGCTTCGTCAGAATATGGTAAGAAGAAACCATTTCAGACTAATGAAATGTTCTTGCTTTTTCGAACATACACATTTCCTTAACTAATCATTTTATACGTACGTTTCATTTCTAAAACCATGTAATCTAATTCAAAATGTACTCCGCGTATTGTATATGTCTGAAAAGTTACAACTTCATTTATGATAATTGAATTATATTTGTAGCCACCTAAAACATTGAAATTGTCAGTATTCTACCTTAGCACAGTTTTGAGCACAATTTTACATAAAATTACGAAAAATATATATATATCTGTTAAGGGTAATTCTTTAAAGCACGCATTTTCCAATTTATCTTCACGACATATCACAAAATATCGTAGCATCAGTTGCGCAAAACAATATTTTGTTTGGATTAATGTGCTCTTTCAAGTACAACCAAAATTTAAATTTTAAATATATTTCTGGAGACATCTTACATTGTCACTAATTATGGATTATTTACACTTAATTGGTAGTACACGTACGCAGTATTAATTATTTTGGCTAGAATAATGTTTCGCTTCCTTGAATGACAAATCGTTTCGAAGACTGGATGATTTTAGAGACCTTCCAGGAGCAAACAATCGATCCAATGCAAGTTAAGGTCTATAACCTTGGGTACCGGAAGGAAACACCACTAATGTCGTTTAGTCGTAGGAAGAAATACTGATAATATAACTCTAGCCACGTTCAGAAACGATAGGAGAAATAGTTTCGGTTTACACACGCAATGAAATCGTCCGTTGTGTTGACCGTCTTCATAAAAGCCCCTTGTATACAAACCTAATGCACAAAGCGCAGTGTTTGTAATAAAATATACAGGGGCTTATCAGCATGAAATGGGTTCTGGTGGCATTAACATCTTCCAGGAAAACATACTTATTACTTTAGTTCTAAGAAGTTAAGTATTATCTTCTTTCCTTTTATATGGACGTCTTAAATAAGAACTTTTCATTTTTACATTCTGAATAGCCAGCGATTATTCCCCTAAACATCAACTACCAACTAGTCTCTGTAATTAAGATGCGATGTGTCTTACTTGAGGTAGAAACTTACTTTATAATTATTCTTAGATGATCGCGTTAAAAGATGATAATGAATTTGAAAATCTTTACAAGGAATTCCACATTATTTTACATTTTCATTAGGTACTATTTAACTCGTTGTTTTAATGGATGTAGGGATTTTTCTCACTACTTGTGATAAGCACAGGTTGAAGGTACTTTGATAAAGAAAGCTGTGATAAATATTTTAAAGTAAAATAGAAGAAATAATAATAAAATAAAATTATATGTACTTCAGAGAGTTGACGTCTTTTATCTTCAACTAGTAAAGTTAAAAACTCTAAATTAAGGGTGTTTAATTGGCTAAGCACAAAGAATGCACGTACAGAACAATGAACGCATACAACTTTGGGATTCCTGCGGTATCTAGAGGTATTCCGTGACAACAGTTAAACAGCCTTAGGAATTTCGTTTCAAGTGACAGAATATTGGATCGGATCACGAGATGGGTTCACATATATCCCTTGATTATTGATATATAAGTCGAAACATAATGTTAATTGTATAAAGGTTACTTACGGAGTGAGAGACTCGGTGGGCGTCGTCATAAATGCAGTCCCTTTTCTGTCGATGTAGTTCTTCTGGGTTGCAACGCCGTCTGGACCCCAACGTATCCGAGGAACATACTGCCTTCATATTTAACCCTGGAAACCAATCAAGCAAAATAACACCAATCTTCACAGCGTGAAATCCTCAGATATCATCGTACAGCCATTACTTTCCACAATGCAAAAATGTTTGAGGTTGGAACAGCGAAGAGTTGTATTCGGAACCAAGATGAAGTTGTTCTGGACCTATAACAACAGTTCAAATGGTTCTTAATACTTATGGTCTAGGTGTCAGAATAGGTATTATTTGCATGCAGAACGAATCAGGTTCCTAGCATGTTTATTACTCTGCGTTGATAAATCAGTACCGGTACTTATACATCTCAGTTTTCATCTCTGCGGGTGGCATCATCCCCTCAGGTTTCCTGAGGGAATGGTAATGTTGCTATGCGGTACAGAGGTGATACACTGTCACATGTTTCGATTGAAATTTTAAATGGTAATATATGTGAATCGAAAGCCAATCCGTAGACCTAAGCGATTCATATGGCCGGCAGAACACTGCTCTTAACAGATTAATACAATTAAACAGCTGTACTCCTTTGAGAAATTTCGATTTTAAATACACGGTGGTCTAGCGGTTAGAACGCTAGCCTTGTAATCCTGGGGTCTCGGGTTCGATTCCTGGCGGTGCCCGAATTTATAACTTGTGTTGGGCAAGGCCGTGGTCTAGGCAACACGGAGTTTTCCTCCGGGGGCTTCCCCGGTTTCTCCGTGGCATCCCATTCACACACAGAAGAAGGCAATGGCAAACCACTTCTGGATAATCTGCCAAGAACGTATATGAACAGATCCCAGTCCGAGAAAAGGATGGAAAGATCCTGTTCATATGGACCTGTCGTCACACAGAACACTAAATAATAATAAGATGAGGCGGTCTAGCGGTTAGAACGCTGGCCTTGTAATCCTGGGGGTCTCGGGTTCGACTCCCGGCGTTGCCCGAATTTATAACTTGTGTTGGGCAAGGCCGTGGTCTAGGCAACACGGAATTTTCCTCCGGCTGACAAAGACACATCTTCATAATTTTTATAACAGAAAAGAGACAACTATAGCACAAAGCAGTAAATTTTTTGTTGTTGAAATTTTCAGAGTATGATAGATGCATCAAGAGAATTAAATTTGCAACAAATGATTTTAGAAGCATAACTTTATTAAATATACATTTTATAATAATTATAAACTACAATTATCACCGTTCCCCAGACGGGAAGTTCAGTTACTGACCTTAACATTCTAGAAACAGTGATTATATATTTTTTCGATTCCTAAAGTAAGCGACGGTTTGAATGGTGCAGACAATCGATAACTTCCCCACACGTGTTACTGGAAGGTCAAACCCTCTACTGTGCAGATGCCCCGATGAATGCGCCCAACGATTTCAGTACACTTGTCCTAATCTTCATCTCACGACAGATCGAACCCGCTTACTAGCACAGTTCTTAAATGCAAAGTTATTTTATTTCGATTGCTTGGTGTATCAACGCTTTATAACACAGTGGTAATTATATGTACCACTTGCTTCGATATTCTGCATCCTACTCAAAAAACAAAATTGATGGGTTTTGTGCAATCTCAGAACAAATAGCGATTATTTCCCTGAACATCATACACCAACTGATCTTTGTAAGGGAGACGTGTTTTCTTTGAAGTAGGAACTTAATGGAGATGGTCGTCCTCTGGTTTATAGCGCCATTTCAAAGGTACATGCTGCCCCCATCATCAGGGCGATTAAACGATGGTAAACCTACCAGACTACACGGCGCGACCACCCAGAAGACAGCATCTTCGTACTCACTATTGTCAGAACCTCAAATCCTACATAGGAATTGAATATTTAAATGTTATTTGTACAAACTTTGGCTTGAAATGCGTAAGACTCACGAAATTAAATGTTTCGCTCACAGTAAGCTACTTTCAAATTCAGATTCACCTCCTGAAAATTAGCATTTGTGTTAATATATTTATAATGTATGCATATATTCACGAAGCAGTAGACCGTGTAGACAAGTCGAGCTAAAATTACTCTTCCTCGAATTATCGTTTCTTATTTCTTTAGTTTGGACTTAGTCCAACGTCCGCTTACAATTTTAATTGTTTTAAAAAACCACAAAATCTCGATGGATGTATCTTAATTCGTCTTCAGGTACGATACGCGCTGCCTTCTTAGTTACCACTCGGTCTGTCCGGCCACGTCAAGGTCGCGCGAGCAGACGTTCTACTGACTGTTAAGAAAACATCAGTATAGAGTGCTCCGTTCATTTTAATAATCTCCCTCTCCTTGCTTACATTACATTACATTCTTAAGTCTGTTTGTGCTGATGTTAACCACTGATGCTGACGTGTCACCGCACGCAATAGTATGGACAAGTGGTCGAAGGATCGTAGCAGAGTAAATGTTTTTTGCTAGACTTGTACAGACACCTTCTTCCATTGTGACCGGCTTCGCCGTTCGTCACTTATTTGGATATCACGATATAACCTGCCTGTACAGTAGTACAAAGGTGAGACACCCACTCAGTTTTATCAGCTAGACCGAGCTAATCTCGTTCTGCCTACTGGTCAACTAACTAACTAACTAACTAACTAACTAACCAACTAATCAACCAACCAAAAAGCCAACTATGGACGGAGTGAGAAGATTTCTGTCTTCTGGGTTGTTGAGCCGTGTAGTCTGCTGGAAGTTTGGATGAAGATTGATGATGGAGGCAGCAAAGACCTCTGAAACGTCGGTAAACTTACAACCCAGAAGACAGCCATATTCGTACTCACCACCGTGAGAACTTCAAATCCTACATTCGTTATCATGTTCAAAGAGCCTTTAAAGATCCATTTTAATATTTTATTCTATCCAGTCCTAGGTCGCAACATACATTTTCCCTTTAGATACCCATTTTTTATAAAAATACTTCTTTGATATATGTTTACCATAAACGTGCTCTCTGTATATAAGACTGTGGTACTTTGCCTCTCTTGGTCTCTTATTAATAGAACACGTACAAAGGGCATTAGAGAACAGGGTGTGAGGAGGATATGTTGATCTAAGAGTACAAAGTAACAGTTGGATGTAAAAAAGGTGAATAATGAGGAGCTTCTAATTTGTACGCTTCACATAGAGCATTAGAGTGATCAGATGGGTGGAGCACGAGACATGAGATCTATCAGAAAACCTGAACAAGCCAATTTCAAGACCTAGACTTATTTAGGGGTATAATATTAAAAAAGTATTTTAAAGGAAAATGGTATGAGAATATGGACCAGTTTCATATGCCTAATAATTGGATATAGCTCTTCAAAGAGGACTCTGTCCCAACAAGTTAATCTGCTTTACTTAGTCGAACACCCTTAATGCCGTCTTAGACATTCCAGTCTAATTCCGAACGATTAAATTCACCTTCTAAATGAGATGATATTGTTGCGTCATATTGTGATGATTATAATTGTTTATTTTAACCGTCTAATCACAATAAAATATTTTATTAAATATTAAAATATTATTACTATAATTAACATTTAATATTTAAAATATATTAAAATATATATTAAAAT